CTCTACAAGTTTTTAAATCTGCCTCATATCAATTTTAACTAGTAATAGAATAAGCAACTAACTGAAGAAAATTTATATATCTGCTGAATTAACAATAAATTCATAATCCACAGGAAACTGTATAAAGTTCACACACAAAATTCATAAAGATAGGATATTCTTATAATAATGTATTTTATTTTAATAATATTTGTAGACACATAATATCATACACTTATATACTCATAAAATTCACAAAAATCTAAAAATTAATAACTTCAAAGTTCATAGTAAGAGATAGAATTGAAAATATTTCACAACACTGGTGCAGCTATAAAAATTCCTGACAGTTTGGAAAACAATTTGTAAATATCTACAAATCTTATATCAATGAATAATTTCCAACCAAATGAATAAACATAGATGGAACAAAACTGAAGAAGAGATTAAAGGAATTTCCATAATAAGGCATTCAGTAGTATATCATAAGAGGTTTTTATGCATGTACAAATTTTTACCATAGTTTTTGATGAGTGTGTTAGTTTACATGAGAATTACATGTGAAGGACACATTGCCTCCATTTCCCTCAAGAGAAGGAGAAATTGTATTTGGATCAGGATCAGTATTCACCAGAGAGGAAGGGTGTACAAAGAACTTCAATTATTGAAAAGATTATATTTTTGAAGTAAACATAAATACACAAGTGACATGTGAATGTATACACAAAGTTAGTTGAAAGCTTGTGTAATACTGAATATTAAAAACAAGCATATTCTCATTTTGGAAACTGCAAAGTAATAATATCACTGTTTACTAGATTTCTTAAAATTAGTAGAATTACCTCAGTTAATGATATATTTGTTAGATTGGATAACTTGCAAAATGGAAAATATTTTTAGGATATCATGGAAACAAAGCTATTAAAATATAATTTAAAAAGATAATTACCATATTATGTGTAATAGACAAAACGAATTATCAAGAATGCACATAAACATCAGAAAAATATAGGATTAAGATTTCAATTTTAAAAACTCACAGAAAATGAACATATAAAATTATACATAATTCTATTCAAATAAATTTATTCCTGTAAAATTCACACCCCATAAAACTACAATATCTGTTTTAAAAGCAATGATTTAAAGCCAGGCATGGTGGCACACAGCTGTAATCCCAGCATTTGGGAAGCTTGGACATGAATATTGCACAAGTTTGAGTTCAGTCTGGGCTACACAATGAAAGCAAGTTCAGCCTGGACTATGTAGCAAAACTCTCTCCTAATAAATAATACAAACATAAACAAGTTGATAAAAATAAATAAATATAAAGGCAAGGATCTAATGGTAATCATTATATTCACATTGTACAGCACATCTCTCAAATTGTATCAATGAAGCAGAGATTTAAACAGCAGGGGTTCAATTTCTAATTTTCATGTCTTTCCAGATCCTGAGGTATTCCTAGGCCATAGGAATTTTTTTGAAAATCTCTCAAAAATTTAATATTTTTTGTAGTTGAAAATATTTTATTTTT